AGATGGTATGGTTATCATCAATACAATCATGCTTGTCTTACAAGCATAATTCAGTCCAAAATTTATGTTGCAAAGCAAGACAGTTGTTAATGAGTTTTGCCCCATTTTATGACCTTTTTGTCACAGTTGTTAATTGAATCACTGCAATTGTTAAGTTAGTAAGACAGTTGTTAAGTGAATCTGGCTTCCCCATTGACTTTGCTTGTCAGAAGACCGCAAAAGGGGATCACATGATCCCAGGTTACTGCAACCATCATAAATATGAGCCAGTTGTAAAGCATCTGATACTTACACTCAGGTAACTATTCAAAGGATTCAAAGAATAGGTACTTTTTCCATTGACTTCTTTCTTCATGTGATTTTAGTTTAATATAAAAGTAATCTTAATATTGCTTTCCTTTGTATGTCATGGAAGCAAAATATGTAATCTTGGTTGAACAAACTATTTACTCAGGCTAATAAAAAGATTCACGTGAATAACAAGCAAGCCAGAAAGATACTGTTGTAGTCTGTTGTAGACTGTTGTAGTCCTGTGTTCAAGTCTTATTTAAAAAATAAAATAAAAACAGCAAAGTTACCAAGTCATGGATTTTCCCTATCATGGAACCCCATGAGACAATAATTTTATTTTTATCATGTATTTCCAGAGCTTCAACTAGACTTACAAGATTAAAAAGAGTGTCGTTCTCAAACAGAATATGAAAAAAATCCCTATTAAATAGCAAAGCAGCAGAAAGTTAGAAATTACATGATAGGTGAACTGTAGACTACTTACAGTATATGAAATACAAGAAGAAAATGCTACAGGAAACTCCATTTTAATAAACCTAAAGTAAATGTAATTTTAAAATACACAGCCACAGTGAAGGCATAAAATATAATTAAGAAAACAATCCACACATTAGAGTATTCATCACATAGTCAACAGACCTCAGACACATACAGAGTTCCTACAGTTCTATTTCTATTTACTTGGACATTTTCCTTGGCTATTTGAATCAAAGTTGTGTTCAGATAACTTTAACTAACCAGTCTCTGTAAGTACATTTTTCAAAAGTAATGTTAGCTGAAAATTTCATGCAGCATGAATTTCCCCAAATCAGCAGAGGATGCTCAGGTATTTGTCACAAGATATGGAACTCTTGTGATGACAAAGAAAGGCATCAAGTATAACAAAGAGGCTTTGTATGCATTAGAGAGATTTTCCCGCCACCAAATTAAAGTGATATTCATCAATTTTTCAGCTAACATAACGATTTCTAATGGTTTATGGGTGTGCAATTCATTATATAAAACATCATCATTATCATCATCATCATCATCATATTAATAATAATAATAATAATAATAATAATAATAATAACCACACTTCAGTTCCAAAATAATAGATAGCAAAGTATTATAATTTTATGCATCTTGAAGCTGTGGTTGGATAATGTCAAGGAGAGGAATGGTACTTTGATATTAGTATCAATACTGATTACTTGTTTAACTCATAGGCTAGAGTCTGGGTAAAGATGAGAGCAAGGATAAAGGTTGAAGTTGTGTTAAAATAAAAGTAGAACAGGTCTGCAAGGATCAAGATATTCATCATGTCATAGATCAGGTCTACATATGCATTTATAAAGGAAGCAAGATATTCTAATTAAATTCACACTTCATCCAAAACATACATTACTGTATACACACAGTAATATGCATACATACCTACACCCCAATGAGAACATTCTTTCTATTATATAAGAATAAATACACGCTATGACATTTTTCAGAGCATGCAGAATTAAATTAAAACCACACTTGTTTTTTACTATGATTAAAAAATTATTTGTCACACTACCATAATATTATCTGCATCAAAACATTTGTTTGCTTGCTTGTATTCCAATATCTATATTTGAAAAACAATTCAGAATAAAAGCTTGGCAATTAGCAAACATATATTCAAATTTTACACTTACCAGCATTTTGAATGTTAACTGGACCAATAAAAAGAATCACCCTCTTTATTTTTGATCTGTAGCATGATAATCAACATATTTTCCTTAGATAATTTTACTTGTATATTAATATCTAAGCATATCTTAGATCAGTGGTGGCGAACCTATGGCACACATGCCAGAGGCAGCACTCGGAGCCCTCTCTGTGGGCACATGTGCCGTTGCCCCAGCCCCGCCTCCTCCCACAGCCCCCTCCTCCCCAGCAGCCCCCCTGGAGGAGAGTCGTCCCCAAGTGTGGCCCACGTGGAACAGCGCAGCCAAGGACATGGCAGCCAGGCAGTGTAGAAAAGACTCTGCCCTCATGCCCCATCATGCACAGTTGATCCTGTGGGATGCGGGCAGAGGGCATGGCCTCCATGGCGCTGCTGGGCTGCCTGGGCGATCTATGGTGGCCCCTGGAGGTGGTGAGTGGCCCTGCGGCAGGCAGGGTGGGGGCAGGGCAGGGGGTGGAGCGAGGGTGGAGCCAGTTTTTGGGCACTCGGTCTCTAAAAGGTTCGCCATCACTCTCTTAGATATTAGATCTAAGTATTAATATCTAACTTTGGTATAATTTTAGATGGATATTAATACCTTCCAAAGTTCAAATATGTATACTACACATCACAATAAAATTTCTGTGATTATTATATTTGATACATCTCAAGATATTTTAAAAGCACATAAATAACACATACATTTGAAAAGCAAACTCCTCAAATATATATACCATAAATACTGTATATCCTCATTAAGAAATCATAATTGCTTGCAGATTTCTTTTGGCAATATGCTCAAAAGCAAATGAGTTGCTTTTCTACAATATTCCCCTTTTGATATCTAAGAATTATAATTAAATTTCTTGGGGGAGGACTGAGAACTACAAAGTGGATGGAGTCACATTACACATGAGCAAAGCTGGGGTTGGGAATTTTTTCTTGATTTATGCTATTTTAACCTAATCTGTAGTTTTCAGGTATTTCCACCTAAATTACTATCAATTTTCAGCAGTCATGGTCTGAGGAACTTCCAGAAACTGCAATTTTTTTCCCAGATACAGACAACTGATTACTGGAGTAATAAGTGAAATGGTTCTCAGATTATTTTATTCTCCAAAGCACCCTCGCATTCCTCCATGGACCATCATACAATAATGGTATGTTGGACATGCTCTAGGCCAGGCATGTCAAACTCGCGAAGTCACGTGACGTCACACAATGTATCGGAATTTTTTCCCCATTGCCAGCAATGGCGTGGGCGCGGTTTCGGCGTGATGCATCCGGCCCACGGGCAGTTTGGCATGCCTGCTCTAGGCCAATGTTTCTCTATCTTGGCAACTTTAAGTTGTAATGGATTTTACCTCCCAGAATTCTCCAGCCAGAATTTCCAAAGGTGGAAAACATTGCTCTGAGCCCTAGTCTTGGGCACACTACCTGTCTCTGATTTCAACATCCTTACATTATTTTATTCATATGCAGCAAAGAAGCTATATACATGCAGAATCTTAGACTTATTCCATAATGTTTGGATGAATGAAATATAGGCCACTTTAATGAGCTTCCTACCATATTAATTTTATTCCTGATATATCCCCGGCAAGGTCATTACTTCTCTTTAAGTCTTGATGGTGAAATAGTTCATAGGAGCCACTTTTTTGTGTGAGCACCATCCTGGCGCAGAGTACATCATAAATAAGTAACTGTGATAGCCTATTTGCCACTCTAACTTCAAGAAACCTGACAAAAATAGCACTATTAGCTCTAATTTCTGAAAATAGTTAAAAATATATACACATAAACAGTACTGTACTGCAACTTTTTTTAAAAAGGGAATTAATAAATTTCCACAAATTATTGATCTCATTTTACAGACTCAAATGTTTAAAAATTGCTAATTCAAAAATACACACACACATAGTGTGAAAATGTAACAAATGCATATATTCTACCATGCAAATTGAAAAACAATTATTAACTAAAGTTTTGTTTAGTTTTAATTGGTACACTTAACTTTGTTTTTTTCAATAAGGCAAGTCACAGATGATGACTTCTTCTGTGTAATAACAAAATATGTGAATCTAGAAATGCAAACATTTCTAGAATGCTTAATTCACTATATCTTCATTCACTGAACATAGTTAAATACATTTATTTGGAAATAAACTTCACTCTTCCAAGTGCTTTAAAATAGATGAATAAACAGCATGAGCCTATGAACATTTATCTACTTAAAGTAAGCTCCAATTCGATATGATTTAATGCTAAATAAATGTGAAAAGGATTTTAGCTTTATAACCTTCATCTAATGATTATTTACTTAAAAGTGCATCTCACTGGGTTCAATTATTCTGTATTTATTTAAGACATTTTTATATCCCCTCCTATGTTTAAAAAAAAAAATCTCACTGGCTTATGCCAGACAGATACACAAGGGACTGCAGTCACACAGTGCAACCAGATATATTTCTACTAAAAAAAAAAGAAAGAAAAAAGAAATCATTGAATTCAATAGGGCTTCCTCTCTGGTAAGGAAGTATTAAAATGACTGATTGTAACCTTAAACAGGATTTCCTAGGGAATGAGTCCCATAAAATTTACTGCGCCTTAAACAAGAAAGTTTAAAATCACGTTGAACAGATTAGGGTCATACAGGTTGAAGGCCTTACCACACATTACAGATAATAAGATCTGTTTCGCTATATTAAGTTTATGATTCTTCTTAGCTATTATTGTGCAATCTTATCCATGTCCACCCAGAAATAACTCATTGAATTAAAGGGACTTCCCAGAATAGAACAGGAGGTAGGAAATTACCTATCAAAATTAAAAATTTTCCTAATTTTTCAAATTATATTAACTTGTCTGTACAGTATTTTATTCCTGAGTCTTTCCTGAATAAAATAATCAAAGGAACAGTGACAACATATTGTTCAATGTCTGGCAATACTGAATATACATCTATACATACTACATAAAACCAATGTCAAACTGTTTTAGAATATTTTTAGATGCTCTTCTGATTTACCTGGTGGGCAGTTGCAGTCCAAAGAAGCTTCTCTTACTGTCCTGATTTTTGCCATATGTTCATAGGTCTTCTGTAGGGAAGAAAAAAAAACATCTGAAAAACAGTCCTTTGCAGCAAAAGCTGAATGAGAGAACTAATATCAAATCTGTTCTATGGTATTTATAAGAAGTAAATATACAATAAATTGATATTAGCCCATTTAACTTTCATGTTTTCCAGACTTTGTATATTAATCAATTGATCACTTGTTCAGTGCAATCTTAACCACAGCTTAAATCAGAAGTGAATCAAGCATATATTTCCAGATGTTCTTACAGTCCCATTCTCTCATCTGTAATAATTGGCTATCCTGGCAGAGGATATGATGAGCAATGGAGTTTAATAACTTCTGGGGCAAAATCTATTGCTGCCCCTGATTTAAATATCACACATAAACTCAAGAAAATTAAGGTCTTACATGTGAAAACAATTGCTTATCTTCCCCCACAGTAACTATGCAGATACAGAGAATTTGGTTTAGGGCAGTATCTGAAAATGAGAGATGAAAGAGCAAGGAATATTTTGTATATGCAGGTCAACTGTTTCCACATTACAGATATAGCTCCTGCCAGTTGAAATCTACTTGCTGCCAAGCAGTCTCCTTGGACTGGTCCTTAAACTTAAATATCTACTTTACAAACACATGTCTGTGTGGCACTCTTGTCAACAATAATGCTAGCCAAGTAACCATCATGTAGGAGATGAGCCCGAGGGAGGGATCAGCCTGGTCATCTACACATCATAAGAAAATGAAATGCAGTTGGAAGAGTAAACATGTAACACAGAGCCCCACTAATGTTGCCGCTGCCTTTTTTCCCCCCAAGCTATTCCTGGAATGCAACAAATGCCCCATATTGCCTCTAGTTCATAGCAGTCCACTGAGCACTATAATAACCCTTGTTTTAAAGAATTTTGTTCAGGCAACTGATAGCTACCACTTGTTTATTTAGTTTATTCAACTGAGCGCAATTCCCATGTCCAGACTACAGACAGCACACTTGTTTATAGATTCAGAGCCCTTTTTTTCTTCTAAATCTTTGTGGGGTGGGGGAGATAGATGGTAATGATATCTTAAGGAAAAGTCCATATGAGCATAGGATATTCTGTGTTATAATTGTTATTCTATAAAAGAACAGTGCTAACAGAGAGAAGACCTGTTTGATGTTCCAAAAAGATTGACGTACATTATCCTCAAATTAGTTAATATAGAAAAACAATGCAGGATAGTGGTAGAGTGCTGAACTAGGATTTGGAAAACACAGATTCCAACCCTCAGTTAGCCATGACATCAATGGGTCACATGGGGACAGCCATGGTTTTCTCACCTAATACTGTATGCCACATAGGAAGATACTGGGGTATTATACATACTGTCTTTGTGCAGAAAAGGAGAGAAGTAATTCACTTTATACTATTATAAAGTGAATAATTTTGATGGCCACCTTATCTCTTCAGTCAGACAATTCCTAACAAAAGCATTTTGCTCTTCTCCTTTCCTCCATCATATCCGCGCCCCCCCCCCCCAGATGCACACCATCTCTCTATCTTACACGTGGGTTGCCTTTGGTTAAGACCAAGGCAGAAGGGCAGGAGTTAACATCTGGAGTGTGACCCTCCAGATGTTGCTGAGCTGCAGCTTCCATCATCCCTCACAACTAGCTAGGCTAGCTGGGACTCGGTGCATTAAGGCTCATTGATGTTTGAAAGACCCATTATTTTCCTAGAGGGGACCCAGACAGCCAATCCATTTCACAAATGCACAGGTATCTCTGAGCTGACTGGTTGGGCTAACAGCCTTTTCCTTGGGACGGCCAATCCCCTCCTCAATTCTCAAGGCGACCCCACCTGAGCCAGAAGTTGCTCCACTTTTTCCTGCATCAGGGAATTCAGCTGATCCAAAGAATAGCTGGGCAGCGTCTGGTAGGACCCAGCAAGAGCAGCGGCACCCATGTCCCCTTGCGCTGTCTCAATGGCAAAGACCCTCGCCTGAAGGTCGTTGGTCTTCATCCCCAGATAGACGCAGGAAGCTATGGATCCCACCGAGAGAAGGCAGGCAGCCAGCAGCGAGTTGAAGGGCGGAGCAGACCTGAGGGGACAGAAGCCCTGTCCGCCAAAGCAGCCGGCTTCCCCGTTGGCGTCGGGGTTTCTTTTCCCCACCATGCTTGGCTGGAAGAGGCAGCCCAGAAATCCTCCTCCTTTCTCAGTGGACGGCCGCTAGATCCCCGCCACACACACACACACAAAAAAAGAGAACAAGAACCCACAGGAATGGGGCAAATATTCAAACGAGTCCCTCCGAAGCCGAGAAAAGGCACTTTCAATGCCCAAAGGTGGCGGGCAGGAGAGGCTTCCCGGATTTCCAAGGTAGCTCTCAAGCTGCCATCCAAAGAGGCGCGCGAGGGCCCCCCAAGAAGAGGGCAGCCTTCACCCTCCGCCGGCTGCTGCCTTTTATGGCATCTGCCGACGAGAGGCGCCGAGCAACCTTGTCAGGTGCCGCTTCCAGGCTCTTTCCCCCCGACGGCGCCGACGGACTTGTTGCTTCTTCTCGCTCTCCTCCGGTTTCCTCGCGCCTCCTGCAGCCTGCACAGCCCGCAAAGCCAGACAACTTCGGAGTTACTTCAGCATCAACCTCTCTCCCCTATCCAAGTGCAGAGCGGGCGAGAAGCGAAGCGTCCCCCTTGCATGGAGTCCCTTTGCAGCCCCCCCCCTGCCTGCGTAGGCGCCTCTAGTAGCGGCTGTCAGGAAAGCAGCAGCGGCGGCGGCGGCAGCAGCAGCAGCAGAAACGCCTCGGAGCCTCCCGCTCGTTTCTCAGGGCTGAACGCCGCGCACGCCGCTTTCGAGCGCCTGCCAGAAGCTCGGGAGTCTCATTAGCATAATTTATTCACCTAGACCGAGGGGCCGCCCCCCCCGCGCGCGCCTGACCCGGGGAGGCTGGAGTTTCGGCTTTTAGCATAATCTATGCAAAGCTGCGGCCGGCAGTCTCCCCCTGCCCGCCCTCCCGCCCGCGCCCGTCTGCCGCTGCGCAGCGCTCCGCTCCTGCCTGGACTCCGCGGGATCGAACCGCCTGTTACTACAAGAAAAGAGGTGACTGCGGAGGGGGGGGGCGGGGTCAAGTCCAAGCCCTGCCAGGAGGAGAGTTGCTTTTCCCAGGAAGAAAATTGGACGTCCTGGCGCAACGGGAGTTTTAGTGACAAGGCGAGAGGCTTAATATTGCGGTCAGATTTATGACAGCGGGAAAAAAACAGTTGTCCCACAGACCAACTCCTGGATCGCTTACCGTGGCTTTGTTCCACCGAGCCCAGCGGCTGTCTTTGCATATCACCTTAACCCATTAATAACTTCACCATGGTGATTCCTGTCATGCAGTGTTTTGGAGTCCTGTGACACAGAGAACCATCAACTGGGGTATGGCGCACAAGGCAGGCTAAGTTGCAGTTGAGTAGTTTGGGCTCAGTAGAAGTCTGGATGGTTGTAGGCAGGTATACTGGGTGATAATGATTGTCACTTGCCACTTGTTTCCCATCCCCTTGCCCTTCTTGGATGAAGGCTGGCATTTTCTTGGCAAAGAGAGGCCCCCAATTTCTCCTTGCATAAGGGATGCCTGCAGGCTTAAAGAAGGCAGGGACTTATATCTAGAAGTAACAGATAGAGATAGACAGAATACAGACATAGATGAGATATAGATAGATAGATATGGATATGGATAGATATATAGGCAAGAGTATATGTCTATATGTGTGTTTATGTATATGTATACGTATATGTATGAAGATGGTATTGGAACTATCTACTATGGCTCGGTAGATGATCTATCCTCGAAGTGTAATGTCCATGCTACTTTCCTTAGACCTCTGGGCAGTTTTTGAAACCATCAACCAGGACACCTTCTGGACCATTTAGAAGAAGGGTTGGCCTTTGGGAACTCGCAATGGTTCCAGTAGGAATAGACCAGAAGACAGGACTAAAGGGCTATTGCTGCAACACCTAAAGGGCGGGGTATAAATTTAATAAAACCAAAACTAAAACCAAACCTATGCTGCTGATGTATAATGTGCCAGATATGTCTTGTCCCCTATGCTGTTTAGCATCTACAGGAAATGGGGGTGGGGGTGGGGAGGTAAAGGGTAGATGCCATCAATATAAAAATCCACGTGATTTAGCTGTATTACTCCATGTCATTCCAAAGGAGGAATGCTGCCTTATCTTAATAATGGGCTGGATGAAGAAACTCAGACTGAAAGGAAATCCACACTACACACAGGAAAAGGGCAGACTCTGGAACCGAAGAAGTCTGTTCTGGCTGGGCTCATGCTCACAGTCTCCACAAAGCCTCCATTCATTCTTTGGGGGGGGGGGGGCTTCTCGGTGTTCAACTACTTATTTACAGTAGGTCCTCAACTTAAAACCAGTCGCTAAGCGACCATTCAAACTTAGGATGGGCCCCCGTCCAAAAGCTACTTAATGGTCCATTTTCAAACTTATGACGGCAACAGACACCCCTTGTGGTTACTTGATAAACTCTTATCCATTTGGCAACTGGCTCACCTTTACAGCCATTTACAGCATCCCAAGATCACATGACCCTGTTTTGCAATGTTTTTTGGCCACTTTCTGGCTTTTTCTTCTAGTTTGCAGTAAGAAAAAAATCCCATTTTGAGAAAATGGATTTACTTAATTAGCATGGTGTTTGTTTAATGACTGTCATGTTTGTTTAACGACCATGGCAAAAAAGGCCAAAAATTGGGTCTATTCATGGGATATCTCAACTTACAAGTGCAATGACTTACAGTATGACTGTAATTCTGGGCTCAGTTATGGTCCTGGGGTCGAGGGCCACCTCTATGAAAGTACACATTACTCTTGAAAACAGTCCAGAAATTGCAATTGGTGCAAGATGTAGCTTTCAATGTCAGAATAAACACAACAGCAGGATATAAATTTAGATACGAAGTAAACATAGCTATCATCTCCAAATGACCACTAGAAAGCACCAACGAGTTGTGTGTGTGTCTTTCCTGTGATCTAGAATAGATACCAGATATAATAGTCCTTGTTGGCTGAGGAGACGTGCCTACAACAGGGGGTTTCAAACTTGGCCCTTTTATGACTTGTGGACTTCAACTCCCAGAATTCCTCAGCCAGGCATGCTGGCTGAGGAATTCTGGGAGTTGAAGTCCACAAGTCATAAAAGGGCCAAGTTTGAAGACCCCTGACCTGCAATAACACAGCTAATTCCAAAAAGATGTAGGAATTTGTTACCCCCAAATTCCTAAGTGAGGTGGTCCTCACTGGCCGCAAACTGAGCCAGTAATTCCATTGCAGTCACATGATTGTAAAATGAAGCATCACATAACTGTGCTGATTTACAGCATCAGCTCCGTCTGCAGTTGTGAAGCGAATATCCACGGGTCATTGAGAGTGAACTCATATGGACTTGACTTCTGATTTTCTGCTGATTTTCCTTGTTGGAAGCTGGCTGTGAAGGTCACAAATGGACACTGCAACCATCATAAGTGCATGCCAGTTGTCAAGGACCCAAATTGTGATCATGTGACCGCTGCAATAGCCACAAGTTAGGCCAATCATAACTTAGCACAGTTTGCTGAGCAAATGGTAAGTGAGAACCACACCTGCATTCCTTTCTCAAATACGACAGAAAACTGAATATGAGTACCCAAGTTTTCATCTTGCTGATTTTCTAATTTTTCAGAGCACTTTCTATGGTTTTTGTGCCCTTAACCTTCTCTGTTTTGTCTTCATAATCCTTTGGAGGTTGGATTTAGACTGACAAAGTCTGAAGACAAAGGTCACATACATGAATATCATAGGGAGGGATCAAAAAGGTCAAAATACTGAATGATCACAATCATGTGATCAAAGCCGCACCGTTTTTGTGCGTTAATCACATGGCTATGACTGCCATCTTGACTTTTCTGATCCTGCTTCCTTATGGGCAGCCCTGTTATATGATCTTTCCCACAGAAAATGCCATTGCTGCAGCTTTTATCAATCCTGATATGTAAGCCCAGTGTTCTTCAGTTGAGAGAACACCATTGGTAAATCCAGTGGAGAGAGTTGGGTTATGAAATATAATCTTACAAGGGCAAGTTGTTTTTTAAATATGTTTAAAACAGAAAGGAGGGGGGGATGTAGAATTAATATGTTTTCTACTTTCCTTTTCACATCCCAACATGTCCAGTTTAAACCACTGCAGGCTGGCTTTGCCAAAACTATCTCGGTACAAATTGGGAAAATAAACAAAAAAATGTACCATTTCAGAAAGCCACACATCTTTTGGTTAACCAAAGCAGTGTTTTAAATTGCTGAAATGAAAGAAGAGCAGGAGTGTTTATATCAGCAATTATCCACTGAAACATTGCAGCAGCTGATCCGGATCCAAATTAGAATTCTTCCAGATATGGAACTATGGGGATGGAATGTGATTTATTTATTCATTAACAATAATCCCCAAAGGTAGCTTACTTCCCCACTCAATACTGTGTAGCATAGTCAGATGGCAGATGTGCTATTTTATCATATGTGTGTTTAGCAAAGTAAACTCTGCAAAATCAAGCAGATTTACCTGTTCATAGAGTTGATGTGATCATGTTAATGCCTGGAAAAATTGTGGGATGCAAAGTAAGACTATTATAGCCAGCTACTATGAAATCAGTGTTAACCAAGCAAGAAAATGTTAAGTGTATTAAAATTAATAAATCATGTTTAGAGCACGATTATAGGTCTTGTGGTTCCTGATAGGTATCTCGTCCCACCTCACTTTTTATGTATACATGAAAAAGAAGCTAGTGTGCTCTAGCATCATCCTTATTTTAAGGAAGGCTTTGGGTCTCAAATAACCCTTATAAAGCAGATTAAAAAGTAGAAATGATAAGCAACAATATCCCAATGCTTTATTTGCAAATTTGCCCACCAGTCCCAAAAGCATAGGGCAAAATAAATAGTAAGGAGGGATTGCAGAGAGCACTTGGGAGATAAGACTAGAGAGATATCATTCTGGAAAATCCACACTTTGTAAAAAGATATTTCTTCCCACCAGTCATTTTGTGAGAAGGGTCACAATATATTCTCGACTGCAAATCCATCATACTATGTAAGCTATAGCAATACCTATGAAGTATAGGAATACACAAGATACAGAG